GTCCATAGAACCTCTCAATCTCACTCAAAATCTTAGGTGCCCTGGAAACGATACTGCCTTACTCGGTCTTTAGCTTTGACAGTGGGCTCTTTCTGGCGGACAGATCTTTGGCAAAGACTTTGGAGCCTTGGTTCCGCTCGATCGCTTCTTCAATACAAGCTGTTGTTCTTCAATACAAGTTGCGTAAGTCCCCCCGCATGCATTTGGAGATCTGTCTGTTCAGATGCCTGTATGCTGACAAGTCTGTTGAAGAATGTAGCTTCATCTCGCGTCTAACAGCCATGAGATTAAGAGCGTGATCGCAGAGTTTTTGTGTTCTTCTCCAACGCGTCTTGCAGAACTTAGCTCCGACCGCATGGACAGTTTCCACGAGATTGTCATTTATATCGTCTACGTCATTGCAGTCTTCTAGGCACTGAAAACGGTTTTGTAACTTGAGCTGAAAGGTTTCGGGCCTTTGGAACAGAGCACGAGGGGGACGGAGCGTTGACTTCATTAGACGAGACCTCTCTAACTTAAAGTTTAGGTTCAATGTGCTTCTAACCATTCGGTGATCGCTATAGCCTCGCGATCACGGAGACATCACTGAACAGTTGTCGTCTGGTCGTCATAATGAAGTCAATATCATTTATTGTCGAACCGTCGGGGCTCGACCAGGTCCACTTCCTTTTGGGCCGCTTCTGAAAGAAAGAGTTTATCAAAAAGGGTCCCTCTTTCTCCATGAAGTCGGCCAGCTGCTGGCTCCTTGGGTTCCGTTACCCTATTCCAAATTTCCCTACTTTCAGCTCACCATTCTCTCTTGTGTCTAGTTTTGCATTGAAGTCTCCCATTAACACCGTATATTGGGTTTTGATGGAATGCATGGCTCTAGAGATATCCTCATACATTTCCCCCACCTCCTCATCGGGGTGAGCCGAGGTTGGTGCGTAAGCCTATATGACCTTCAGCAAATACCGTCTGGTGATTCTGAGTATAAGGTACGCAACCCTCTTTGACACACTCTCGATCTTTACAACGTTGTTAACGAGAGACTTGTGGACGATAAATCCGACACCTCCTTGGGACAGATGGTCGCCCTCCCGGTGATAGAGCAAGTTGCCGGATTTGAGGATTACCGTGTCCTCCCCCTCTCTTCGGACTTCGGATGATCCTATAATATGTCAGCGTAACTTGTCTATCTCTTCTTCCAGCTCCACAATCTTCTCGTCAGTCCTCAGGGTGCGTGCGTTGTATGTTGCCAGGTCGAGTCATCTTAGGTGGCAACCGAACCTCCACCGGAGATTCTTAGCACCCCCTTCCTTCTATCTTCCTACCGTTCCCTCTCTATTGCTATTATAATAATAAATAATTCAATTGGCAATTGTATTGGGTTGGTAATGACAGTACGAAATATCTCTACAACTTTGACGTTTTTCTCCCTTGCTGGTATGGGTCTGAGGATACGAGATTATGTACCGCCATTTAACAGACTGCGACGTCTTTCTCACCTATCCTTTTTTCACATGGGGAAATGCCTACGCATACCCACCTCGTGGGGCATTGAAGGGTTATGTTGGACTCGCACCGACTAAATAGGAAAAGTAGCGCATCACCATACCAACACTCCTCTTCCTCCGCGACTCCACCTCAGCTTTAGTGGTAGGGGGAGAGGTTACGCTTCTCACCGCAGCCCACCAACACAACTCCGAAGTGGGCTCGCCAAGCCCACTCGGAATGGTCACCTCGGGCCAACCATGTGGGTTCCTTTTTGTTAATTGCGGGTGATCAAGCCACGGCTACTAAGCCCCTCCCCCCCTCCCGCCACGAAATGGTAGAATCCCGTTCGGGACAAGTTCTTACCTATCCTATAGTCACTTCTTACGACACCCGCGACACGCCTAAATGACTAAATTGAGTTGATGTCAAATTAGTTATTTGCTAATGATTTGGTACAAAAATACTTAAAAGAAAGCTGGATGATAATAAAAACCGTTATTCATTAATACTTTCGGTTTATAATATTTGTGTGCGAAATAAAATAACTATAATAAAAACTAAATAAACACAATTGAATCTGCAATCTGAGCTACTTTCATCTTTACTTGGATGACATACAAGACGACAAGCAGCTTACAATATACTCGTAGTATCTTAATCGACGTATTCTACGTTTAATATTTTTTCAAAGTTTGTTTATTCAACTAATTGAAATACAAATAACCCAAATAATTGGAAATGAAAAAAAGATATTACCCTCTAGATTTAAAAATAACACTAGATACTCTCCTCTCGACTTACCCTGTGTGCATACACTCATGATATATCTAGAGAGTAACATCTTGTCTCCTAGAGGTAGATAATTCAGAGAGTACAAGACTGTCTTTTATGAGCATTACTAACCTTCTTCTTTTTTCAGACATTAAACAATACTTTGTTGTTTTTTTTTATAGAACTATGGTGACAAAGGAGTACGCAGTCTACCTGATGGTAAGTGCTATGGCCATTATACATCTACATTTATCCTCGATTAAGGTGTGAGAGCGTGGTCCTACCCCGGTCCAGCCCACCAATTCGTGCTTCCATAGTTATAAGCAGTGGATTGCCAATTACATGATCAAACCTTTCGTTGCGTCTTGCTACCATTCCGAACATTTCATATTTTACAGATGTATAAATTATTTGATATACAAGATGTTCATACTGCCATCTATCTGTGGCAACAATTTTTTATCCCCCTTTCCCTAAGTTGAATATTATAACCCCCACTTCCTAGTGTTAAGATTTTTTTTCTTTTGCTACACCAAACGGCAAGCTACAATGTCAGTTCGCCATTATTTATACCATAAAAGTAAATAATAATTTTATTCGTCTCATACTTTATCTAAAATAATATTAAAAATACAACAGACATATAAGTTTTATGATATATTATTAAAGGAGCGATGTTGAACATTTCTTTCACTCTCATTAGAAATTTAATCATAATGTGATGCGAAGTATAATTTAAATTTCAGCGTTAGTTTAATGTTAGTTTTGTTGATTACACTGGCTGTAAATTTAAATACAAAATCATAATGGTCTTATGATTTCACAGATGATCCTGTTATCAGCTATTGCCACATGTGCATTTTGAAATTAGAACAATAAAGGCCTTACTCATAAAAATTGGCGTTACTTGAAGAAATGGTTAAAGTTTCCCCTCTCTTTTTACTAAATGAAAATAGAATCAGTCAGGTATAGACATATATAATACTTAGTTTAAGGAAGCGATATTCAACGATTATAAGTGAGGCTGTGTATTTTTTTATTACTGTAACATTACATTGCCGAATGCTACATCCACACTAGTGCTTGTTCTTTATCGGCAGTATGTGTGGAATTTGGAAAGGTTATGCATCGGTCGAAAGAGCCTCGTTATTTTATTAGCAAATGATTCACTGCGAGCGCATGTGGTTGACGTACATGTCATTACTTCATCTCCTTACGTTACAATACATTTTTGCAATTAAAATATAGAAATCGAACGTACAGTGGTGAAGTAAGAATATCCACTATCCCATATCGTACCGTGGCTGTCATAGGTGGTGAAAAAGTGAAACGAACCAACCTTGGATTAGAAATACATCATAAAAGTAATAAAAAAACTACTGTTGCCAACCCGTCTGCTAAGCGTAATAATGACGTACACACTATCACTCTAAGAATTTCTTGACGGATAAAGTCAAGAACTGATATTTTTGACTCGACCCGGAATTCGAAGCCGGAATTTCATGATCAGCAGGTACACTACTACAAGCACTAGACCAACGAGGCAGTATTTTTTTCATTTAAATTTAATTTTTTTTTAATATTACCAACCAGTCTCTACACAAACTCGTTATGTATTACATATTATTAATTGATTGTTTTGGTATTCAGCTTAGATAAATTCGGTTGCCTTTATAAATTGGGTTAACGCCGATGTTCATGTCAATAATAAATTAAATCTGGCGGTCCACAGGGACAGCAAAATATTTAACTGTATAATAAAAATACATTTTAAGACGATAAAGGGAACGCAGGGTGGCAACACCTTTACGAATTCCTTCAGCGATCTGCAATTTCCAGTTCATAGTTTTGACCATGTGCAAGGCAAATTTTTTTATCGAATCACAATATAAATTCAAAGTTCCATTATAAATTACATAAGAAAGATTTCCATAATCAACCTTAGCCAATAATTGCGAACTTCCGAAGATTAGGACTTTGCACTTGGCTGCATTAATTGAAACGCCATATTTACACGACCGTTCTATTATGGCTTCCAGGTTGTTATTTAGTTTATAAATTACAAAGATAAGATTATTTAAACTTGGCTGCATATAAAGCTGAAGGTCGTCCGTATACAGATGGTGCGAACAATCTAAAACTGAGAAGATAGTATTAATAAATAAGTAAAACATAACGGGAGAAAGTATTCCACTTTGTGGTACACCAGATTAAATTTCAGCCCATGCAGAAGAATGATGACCTGAGCAAACTTATTGCTGTCGACCGCGAATATAAGAAAAGAACCACTCCAAGGCTGGGGATAAAATTTCTGGTGTTTGGGGATAGATGGTGTTGAAACCGTATGAAAAGTCAATAAGCGCCACCGTTATTAATTTCTGCTCATCCAAGCTCTTTGTTATATCGTCTGTGATTTTGATAAGCGAAGTGGTAGTACTGTGACTAGAGCGAAACCCCGACTGAAATCCATTCAGCAGCTTATGTTTTGCAGTGAACATAAATATTTGCTTAACACAGGCTTCTAGAACTTTAAAGAGATATGGGAGAATTTAAAAAACTACCTAGAAACTGAAATTATCGTATAAATTATCTTAGAAACTGCTGCCATCACAGCTTATTTATTAACATACCTTACAAATAATCTTGAAAGTGAAAGGTCTAATCATTTGACAAATATTTTATTGAGAATTAAATTGAGATCTTTATTTTACCTATTTCTGTCGTAGAAATACTATTGTATTCCTGCATTAAACTCAGAGGTGTAACCTTCTTAGTTTGAAGTCGGTTACAAGTGACCATGGGCTGCAGTAGCCACTTACAATCAGGTGGGATGTAAGTTCGTTTGTCACATCGGTTTATTAAATATGCGTAAGTGTCGTGGAACACTCGGTTGGAACAAAGTTCATTTTGTAGTATATTATTATTGATAGACGTATTATATTATTGATTTTAACAGTGGTAGAGTCACGTGGCAGCTTTTGCTGTCGCACGGATGGGCCGGCTCGAACCGGAGTAGTCACGACCTCACAGAAAACCAGCGTGAAGTAGAGGTTTACCTCTGCGTTTCGCTTGGTGAGTGCAGGTGGCCGGAGGCCCTTTTTATTGGAAATGAGGCATTCCATCTTAGTCCTCACGGGTGACAACGCATCTACATTTTGATTTGTAACAGAGGATAGATGTAGATGTCTATGGGCCGCAGCAACCACTTACCATCAGGTGGACTGTGTGCTCGTTTGTCACCCTTATCCTATAAAAAAAAGATAAACAAATACAAATAAATGAATTATTACCGTCTATTAAATGAAGCATCATTTCAAATAAAATAATATTTCTTTCATGGCAAGATAAGAAAAACTGCGATGGAGACGTATATTATTCGATCTCGCTCACACTATAGAAAGGGGGTCGTGATGGTAAAAAATCTTGCACTTTTTGTCGCCTAGCCCCCATCCGTTAAATTTGTACCGTGCGATAAGGAACTTCGTTCCAAAAATAATGTGTATCAAACAAGTCGCTTTGCCGCACGCCCCACCCCTCTCTATAATCAGGCCTCAGCCTTAATAAAAAAAACTTAACTACTATTGTTTTAAAAACAGGAAAGACTCTTTCTCGTCGATTTATATTTCTCATCATTTAAGAGCCTTATTTAAATCATAATATGAGTATTATATCCCCATTAGTTAAGCATGAAACGCAAAACGTAACGCACTTTAATAATCTTTCTTTTGTAAGCAGATACGTGAGATAATTAAAACAATTATCAATGTTTTCAATATGCTTTCTGTCTAAGAACGCAAAAATTAAATTTTCATCATGTAGATTTTAACATTACATAATATACTGAAATTAGAAGAAGATACACTTTATAAATCTAGCTTAATATTGTGGGAATATAATCTAACCCCCCAGCAGGTGTTATTAAAATGACACATATTATAATATTATTTATGATTGTATTTGTTGTCTTTATTTGGAATTCCTTTGCTTATTTCAAGGGAAATATAAATTTGGGAAAGAGAAAGAAATTTACTTTTAAGAAGCGAAACTGGTAATTTTTTTTAATTAAAATAAATATTATTTATATACGTGTTCAAGAATATATAACATTAATATTTATAGTAAAGTCATGTGAAGTGAATTCAATTTCAACACCTTAGCTTCTCCTAACATATTAATCTCAGGTTTTGATATTAACTGTCAAGGCATAAAACTGTGTATTTTCAACACGCGATTTGCAACTTTGTGTGAAGTCTCGATACTTGAACGAGAAATTCTTTACATATTGTCAAACGTACAAGTAGCTAGTGCATGACAATATGTCGGAAGATGACTATCAAAATAAAACGGGGATAGTGGAAGCATTGTCAAATGCACGTTACAATATTCATTATGTCCTTATATATTATTTATGGCAAACATAAAACATTATTGTCCTTTTTGTTTAGTATTCAACGGTTCCATATTTTATAACAAAAAATAAGAAATAAGAAATAGGTGAAGAAAAAGGTAAAAATTTAAAACTTTTGGTTCATACTTTACGAAACAAAAGTTACTTAAAGAACTAGGCAGACAAAGTTTTGGTGACGTACCTATGTTTGTATGTTTGTTGTAGTGTGATTGATTTGGTAGTAAAGAGTGTACCTGCAGGCACAGGTGCACTTTCTATTTTCTCACTTTCATAGTCCGATGGGATGGCAATCCGACACGACCGAAGAGAGTTTAGGAGCAGAATAAACGGCTTTACGGTGTGCTTTCCTAGGCGGTTCCACGGGGCTGAAACACTGCTAACTTCCTTTGTCCGCACTGCTGTTACTGCTAATTTCTTAACAGAAAAACCAAATAAATTATTTTGGCCCGTCCCGGGATACAAGCCAGGGACCTTATGATTAGCAACCGTTCTTACGACCACTAGAACAACGATGCAGTCATTCATTCATTCATTCATTACAACCCTTCACAAGTCCACTGCTGAACATAGGCTCCCCCAAAGAATGCCACAAAGCACGGTCCTGAGCCACCTGCATCCATCGACATCCTGCATGTCTTACCAGGTCGTCACTCCATCTCGTGGGGGGACGCCCTACACTTCGCCTACCGGTACGAGGCTGCCACTCGAGAACCTTTCTTCCCCATCGGTTGTCGGTTCTTCGAGCTATATGGCCGGCCTACCTTCACTTCAGCTTACTAATTCGTTGGGCTATGTCGGTTATTCAGTGAAGGACCACGTCTCAGTTCCGTAAGTCATCACTGGCAACACGCACTGGTTGTACAATTTCGTTTTAAGGTTTTGAGGTATGTCTGACGAGAAGATGTGTAGTAGCTTCCCGAACGCTGCCCAGCCGAGGTGAATCCGTCGATTGACCTCTCGGTCGAAGTTGGACTTACCTAGTCGGACTACTTGTCCCAGGTAAACATACTCGTCAACAACTTCGAGCTTAGTGCTCCCAACAACTACCGGCATAGGTGTGACATGGACATTAAACATGATCATTGTTTTGTCCATGTTCATCTTAGGACCTATCCGTTAGGAGACACTATTGAGGTCATTGAGCATAGTGCTTAGGCCCTCCAGCGATTCTCCCATAAGGACTATATCGTCGGCAAATCGAAGGTGAGCGATGTACTCGCCATTGATGTTGATACCGTATCCTTTCCAGTCCAGAAGCTTGAAAACGTCTTCCAATGCAACGGTGAAGAGTTTCGGGGATATGACGTCACCCTGTTTTACATCTCTCTGCAATTGGATAGGTTTCGTACTCTGGTTCTGTACTCGGATAGACATCTTAGCCCTTCTGTACAAGCAATTCAGCACATCGATATACTGACAGTCATCGTGGCACCGCTGAAGAGACTGCAGCACCGCCCAAATTTCGACAGAATCAAAGGCTTTCTCGTAGTCCACATACGCCAGACATAGTGGCAAGTTGTACTCCTCGGACTTCTGTACAACTTGCCGAAGGGTATGTATGTGGTCTATGGTGCTAAAGCCCTTTCGGAAACCGGCTTGTTCGGGAGGCTGGAAGTCGTCGAGTCTGCGCGCGAGACGATTCGTAATGACTCTCGAAAACAGCACGTAGACGCGGCTCAGAAGGAAAATCGGTCTGTAGTTCTTCAAAAGAGCGTTGTCACCTTTCTTGACGAACAAGACCACCGCACTTCTGCTCCACGCCTCCGGTGTAATGCCACTACGGAGGACGGAATTAAAGAGCTTCTGTAGGACTTCAAGTACTGGTCTTCTACCCGCTTTCAGAAGCTCCGCTGTAATTCCATCCTCGCCTGGGGCCTTACCGTTTTTAAGGTGCTGGAGAGCCATTATAATCTCGCTCAGACTGACGTCCGGGATATCTTCGGAATAGTGTCGGATGAGACTCGCTCTTGGATCGTTACTCACACTTGCGTGTGGCTCCAACGATGACGTGTACAGCTGCCCATAGAACCTCTCAATCTCACTCAAAATCTCAGGTGCCCCGGAAACGATGCTGCCACATTCCGTCTTCAGCTTTGACAGTTGGCTCTTTCTGGCAGACAGATCTCTGGCAAAGACTTTGGAGCCTTGGTTCCGCTCTATCGCTTCTTCAATACGAGCTGTATTGAAGTTGCGTAAGTCCCGCCGCATGCATTTGGAGATCTGTCTGTTCAGATGCCTGTATGCTGTCAAGTCTGTTGAAGAATGTAGCTTCATCTCCCGTCTAACAGCCATGAGATTAAGAGTGTGATCGGAGAGTTTTTGTGTTCTTCTGCGGCGGGTCTTGCAGAACTTAGCTCCGACCGCATGGACAGTTTCCACGAGCTTGTCATTTATATCGTCTACTTCAATGCAGTCTTCTAGGCACTGAAAACGGTTTTGTAACTCGAGCTGAAAGGTTTCGGGACTTTGGAACAGAGCACGAGGGGGACAGAGCGTTGACTTCATTAGACGAGACCTCTCCAACTTAACGTTTAGATTCAGTGTGCCTCTAACCATTCGGTGATCGCTACCAGTTTTCACCCTCGCGATCACGGAGACATCACAGAACAGTTGTCGTCTGGTCGTCATAATGAAGTCAATCTCATTTTTTGTCGAACCGTCGGGGCTCGACCAGGTCCACTTCCTGTAGGGCCGCATCTGAAAGAAAGAGTTCATTAAAAAGGGTCCCTCTTTCTCCATGAAGTCGGCCAGCTGCTGGCCCCTTGGGTTCCGTTGCCCTATTCCAAATTTCCCTACTTTTAGCTCACCGTTCTCTCTTGTGCCTAGTTTTGCATTGAAGTCTCCCATTAACACCGTATATTGGGTTTTGGAGGAATGCATGGCTCTAGAGATATCCTCATACATTTCATTCACCTCCTGATCGGGGTGTGCCGAGGTTGTCGTCTGGTCGTCATAATGAAGTCAATCTCATTTTTTGTCGAACCGTCGGGGCTCGACCAGGTCCACTTCCTGTGGGGCCGCTTCTGGAAGAAAGAGTTTATCATAAAGAGTCCCTCTTTCTCCATTAAGTCGGCCAACTGCTGGCCCCTTGGGTTCCGTTGCCCTATTCCAAATTTCCCTACTTTCAGCTCACCGTTCTCTCTTGTACCTAGTTTTGTATTGAAGTCTCCCATTAACACCGTATATTGGGTTTTGGAGGAATGCATGGCTCTAGAGATATCCTCATACATTTCCTCCACCTCCTGATCGGGGTGTGCCGAGGTTGGTGCGTAAATCTGTATGACCTTTAGCGAATGCCGTTTGGTGATTCTGAGTATAAGGTACGCAACCCTCGTTGACACACTCCCGACCTTTACAACGTTGTTAATGAGAGACTTGTGGACGATAAATCCGACACCTCCTTGGGACATATGGTCGCCCTCCCGGTGATAGAGCAAGTTGCCGGATTAGAGGATTACCGTGTCCTCCCCCTCTCTTCGGACTTCGGATAATCCTATAATATGCCAGCGCAACTTGTCTATCTCTTCTTCCAGCTCCACGATCTTCGCGTCAATCCTCAGGGTGCGTGCGTTGTACGTTGCCAGGTCGAGTCATCTAAGGTGGCAACCAAACATCCACCAGAGATTCTTAGCACCCCCTGCCCCGCCGTTACCATGGTCGTCACCGTAGCCAGGAATAGCGGGGCCGCTGGGGACTGGGGGCCGTCTGTTTGTTGCTTTAGTCATTGGGGGGTATTTGCCATAGTTGCCACGCTTGGCGAGCGGGTTGGCAATCGCAGTTTTTTATTATAATTTTGGCTATTATCAGGAAGATGCTGCTGCTCATCTTCTGCCTGTTTCCGTTTGTCGCTTTTTACGACACCCACGGGAGGATATGGGGTAGTGGATATTCTTGACCGCCACTACACGGCATGCAGTCAATAAGGATATATATTTAGGTTTGAGCTATATACTTATATAACACGTCTTGTCGATCTCTCCTTACGCTAGATCGATTTACGATTTTATCCCAAACATAAAATAAATATAAGGAGATACAGCTATATCCGTGTTCCATACAAGATCTAGAATAACGCAAAGACAAATCACTACGTTTGAAACAAAACTGAATATGACGTACCTGTCTTAATAAGCGGCGGCCTTGGTAATATCGACGCAGTAATCACTAATGACAGTAATGGCGGATTAGGCTCAGTTTATGGTTTAAGACATTTATTTTCTCAAAAGATTTACAAATCACTTAGAGAGAAAATACTTATTAGTTAAAAACATTAAGCCGATTGGCGTAGTGTTAGTATTATAATAGGTCGCTAAAACTTAGTTACCGATTGAGTGCTTAATAATATGATTAGTAATAATTACCAGGAACAGTGTAGTATTATATGAATGAATGTGGCGAGTTGTTTGTTAAGGCCCATGACACATAAACTATTTCATTGCGTTCATCTTTTAAAATTATTACTATATTATGTGTTATGTTAACATAATTAGTTAGTGTTTATTTATTTAGTATAATATATTATATTTAGGCGTTAATTTGCTTGTAACATTTTCTAGACATTAATTTATTTGTGATAATTTGTATGATTGGTGTTGCAAGCACACACACACACACACACACACACACACACACACACACACACACACACACATACATACATATATATATATACAGGTTGTCCCAGTAATGGTGGATAATATGGTACGTACGTGTCCGGGCTGTGGGGAGGTGAACTCGGTTGCCTAAAAAAAATTCTATCCCGAACGGTTCGCGGTCTACGCCATGATTTATAAAATTCCGAAAATTCGTACTTCTGCTCACGTTTGTGGTCATCACGTCCACAGTTTAATGCCTAGATCGGATTTTTTTTCTTTTAATGTGTTTCCTAATAATGATGTTTCTAAATTACCCTTAAAAATTTTCAACTACTATACTATTTTACAAGACGGCACTAAACATAAGTTTAATTTGTTTACTTTATTTAACTGCTAAGTTTGAGCACCTGTGGTGAAAAAAACGTATAGGATCTTTGCGGCCAACCATTTATAAAGTTTGTCTATATCATAAAAATTCTAAAACATTAGCATACCATGTACTTAATGTCATCACTTACTGAGCTATAGCCGCTAATGTGTAAAAGTAGGCATTTCATTACAAAATAACAAAATTATTGGCAGATAGTTTTTTTAAACATTGCATGTCTTTATTAGGTAAGTACATTTGTCGCCCTTGAAAATTTTACTTTACTAGCTGCTCGCTTTGTTTGGACGAATTCTAAGCTGTGTGAGCGAGACAAACGGTGCTTAGGATTAATGTGAGTAAAAAGGATCGACAGATTCTCCATTGTATGAATTCGTGTTTGGTTATTGTTAAATATGGTTAGTGCGTATCTCGACCTTCTCGACATCGCATGTGCAGTCGAATTGAGCACCGTTTTTTTTTTGAAAATCGGCAGAAAAGATTCGTATATTTCGATGCGAGATATCGAACAACGCACTGGAGTATCGCACTCTACAGCACATCGGATTGTCAAAAAATGGAAACTTCACCCTTATCATGTTACACGTGTGCAAACTTTTCAACAACGTGACTACCGAGTACGAGTTACTAAGTTTGATTTTGATTGTTAGTAAGTTTGACTGTAGCCAGATGTGTAATATGTTTAGGTCATGCTGAGCTTCACTTAGTACTGATTCTAATGAGTGGCCAAAGCAGAAGAGGCCAGTGTCATCAGCATATAAAGTGATATCTCCCTTTAATCCAATTTTCAGTTTGACGGATACATCAATATATTTTTTATAGACTCGCCTCTCATGATAGTCGTTTGTAATATTGTTACGAGCTTGGGTTTCGAGACAACTAAAACTGCCGAGTGAATTACCAAAATTGACACTTTTTACAGAACACTAATTACAATTTCAAACCACCCTAATAATAAAACACAATTGTACTACTGATCACTTTAGTTCGCAGTTATTTTGCTTCGAAATATTCGCTTATATCGCCAATTTAATACTGACTCGGTCGTGGTGTATACCGGCCTTATATAGGGCCTCAGGTAATTTCCAGAATCTTCTACTGTAGAAACACCTAGAATGTTCGAGTACATATCGGTCCCGAAATTTCTCGAAGGATCTTGACTCTCCTAGTTCTGCTACTCGATACTAGGTGCTGGTGGTAAATAGTGTTGCCATGTACAAGACATTAATAGTGGCGCGCAACACTGCCCCCTCTTAAGACATGCTTGTCCCGAGCATTATTGGCCCCATAATAACGCGCCAGCCAATCCACATGGACGATCTTAGGAGTACCTCTGGCATCTTTCTGTATCCGGTAGGTTACGTCATTGTTCCTTGTCACAATCCGGTACGGTCCGTTCCATTTATCTTGAAGCTTAGGAAATTTCCCTTTGCTGCGAACAGGATTGTGTAACCACACTAGTGAACATTCGTCAAACCCTGTGTTGTTCATTTTGCGGTCATACCGTGTTTTCATCTTCTCAGACGTTTGCTGGCCTGACTGTCTGACGTGCTCATAAATGTCATTCATTTCGTTACGCCAGTCATTTGCATAATCAGGTCTGCAGGTAGCCGTAATTCTCTCCCAAAGATTGCGAAAGCTGGCGTAACTGATGTACTTTCGTGAACAGCGCTTCGATATGACAACAAAAACGGTTGTATATGCCTGTCCCTGTCTCGTTGCCATTTTTCCACAACGTTTGCCAGGTACCTTTCCAATGTTTGATTAAATCGTTTTACCATTCCATCAGATTGTAGTTGGTAAGAAGTTGTTCTTGTTTTATGAGTACCCATAACTCGTCAAGTTTCCTGGAATATTTGAAACTCAAAATTCCTTCCTTGATTGCTGTGAATCTCTAATGGTACTTCAAAATGACAGAAGACTTCATGAACTAGTTTATCTGCAACTGATGAAGCTTCTTGATTTGGAATGGCGAAGACTTCTGGCCACTTAGTGAAGTAATCCATCACAACCATGAAATAGTTGTTACCACTTTCACTTTCCGGAAACGGCCCCGCAACGTCAATGGCTATCCTCTCCCATGGTGCACCAACATTGTACAATTTCAACACGCCTCTACTACGAATTCGAGGTCCCGAGGTTCGAGGCACAACTTGTACATTTGCGGCACCAGTCCCCGACATCGTCACGACAGTGGACCCAGTAAAACCGTTCTCAGATCTTCAGTAGAGTTCGTTTAACCCCACGGTGGCCTCCTGAACAACCACTATGGTGCAGCTGTAGAACATCCGGTACTTTAGCCTTAGGGACAACCATTTGTAAATGACAACTGTCTCCCCGGCCATTTTCCCATTTACGACACAGGACTCTATCCTGAATCAGCAAGCTGTCCCACTGGGCCCAAAAGCTTTTCGTGGTCGAACTCATCGCTGAGACGTCGCTCCACTTGAGCTTAGGAGCACTGGCCTATATCCATTCCAGAATCGGCTTAATGTCCGAATCTTCCTGCTGTTCCGCTCATTGCTGAGCTGGTCTATCCTAAGTAGCCTCACAGATACCACTTGCTGACCCTCTTGCCTAGTACAATGCTTGCAATCTTCATGGCAAGGTCTTCTCGACAATGTATCTGTATTGCCATGAGATTAACCGCTGCGATGTTAGATCACAAAGTTGTATACCTGCAGTAGTTCAATCCATCTCGCAATTTATTCTTCCGGATTTTTGAACTGCAATAGCCATTTCAGTGCACAGTGCAGCATGGTCAGTTCGTAAGTGGGATTTCTGCCCCAGAAGATATTTGTTAAAATGCTGCAAGGACTTTACCACAGCAAGCAATTCCCATCTTGTGACACAATAGTTCCTTTCCGGCTTTGACAACGACTTGCTGAAGTACGCTATCACAATCTCTAGATCACCATTCCGTTGAGACAACATACCGTCAAGTCCTATATCACTTGCGTCTGTGTATAAATGACTATAAATTCCTTGCCCGCATCAGGGTACCCCAAAATAGGTGTTTTGCATAGACGGTTCTTGAGCTCCTGGAATGCAATATCGCAACTTTCATCCCAGCAGAAATGTCGCTTCTCCTCGATTAGCTTGTGCAGAGGTTTGGCTATTTCTGCAAAGTTCTTCACAAATCGCCGATAATAAGAGCACAAACCCAAAAATGCTCTAACCTATGTCTTGTCTTTTGGAACCGGCCAATCCTTGATAGCGGCAATTATCTCTGAATCCGTGCGGATACCTTCTTCCGACACTACATACCGAATAAAGCTAACTTGCCGTTTGAATAGTGAGCACTTCTTCGAACTCAACTTGAGGTTGGTACTCTGGATCTTCATGAGCACGCGTTCCAGGTTTTGAAGGTGTTCCTCAAACGTACGGCCTACGATGATGATGTGATCCACGTAGACCAGACAGGCATCTCCAATTAGCCCGGTAAGTACAAGCTCTATCAACCTTTCAAACGTTGCTGGAGCATTGCAGAATCCAAACGGCATGACTTTAAATTGCCACAGAACCTTTCAGCACATACAGGAGAAAAACAAAGAGTAGGAGTAATATTTAAAAAAATTACAATCTCGCTAGTAAGAATCAGTGATCATAATATACAAGATAAGAATAGGCAAAGATAAAATATAACTTTATTATTAAACACAATTTTTAAGTATTTTATACATGAAACTAGCTGTCTCGACTTTGCCTGTTTCCCAGATTTTCTCTTTCTGGTTGGTGACAAATCACGCCGAATTCACTCGAGACTTTTTACAGTGTAGTTATGAAATTTATTTTTAACTCGCCTGCAATACTACTCCTATCGGGTCTACATTTTTTAGTTTTAAGCACTTAATCATGTTATTATATTATATTCTAAATACGCGTCATGTTATTCCATCAATTTCCATTATTAATAATTTACAAGGTGTTGGAACCCCATAGGATATTCCCATTAGGTGGATGAAGTAACAAACCGGCTGACATTTGTCACTTCGTCTTAATTACTAAATATCTATAAATAAAAATAAATTGCTCTCCGTTAGTATCATTAATACTTGAAAACGGCTAAAACGATTTTAATGAAATTTTTGGTGTACCTTTGAATGGGTATCATGGGTAATATGTGTAAGGCTTAGATTCAAACTCGGATCTAGTAGGTGCCGCTTATATTAAGATCCAGAAATCACCCATGCAAAGCCGGGGCGGACCACTTTGGCTTTGCGTAATTGTTCCGTCCTTAGGTGATAAACCCACATGCAATTTACAAATAAAAATTACCATTAGCGTTATAGCCTGTTAAAAGCCCACTGCTGAACATAGGCCACCCGACAGATTGCCTCAATGGGTACCCTCATCATGTTTTACATAGTTTCGTAGTTTGGCTGGCGAATTGGCAACCTCAGTTTGTTTATTTTTAGATGTTATTGAAAGACGCTGCTGCCCTTCTCTTGGTTTGTTCCTTCTGTCGCCTCTTACGACAAACACGGGATGATATGAGGTAGTATATTTATATTATAATTTAAATTTAATTTCATTTATAATACTTTTGAACACTAATTTTGGAAACGCACTTAACAGAAACCACAGGATTTTTGTTACAGATACACGCTAAAATATGACTTTCCTATTGAGGCAAAGGCGTAAAATAATTATTTTGTACTTTAATTAAATTTATTTCTTCCATAAACTGTAACCATAAATTTTAAATATTTCGATGGTAAGCCACAACAGTAATGTGTACGTTTTATATGGAATAATGCCTTTCATTGGCAGATTTAATCAAAGAAAAATTATACTTCATTAATACAATACCTATCAATGTATGACAATTATAACATTGAACTATTTTCAATTAATATAAAATTATTAATTGAAACTACAAAAGGTACAAAAATGACATCCACGGTACAAAGTATTCTATTATTCTACTGTTTACACAATAGTTGGCCGAATTCATGGGTATGATGAACTTTTTTTCCAGAAGCGGTTCTACGGAAAGTAAACCCGGTCCTACCCCGACAGTTCGACAAACATAAGACTGACATAGACATAAGACGACAAGGCCTTAACTGATTGTAACGAATCTTAATAAACAGATAGATAGCAATGCCAAGAGTGATCTAGACTATATTTAATCTAAATACTCTTTAAAGTCTTAAAATACTATCTGGGCATAAATAATCGGTTCAGCCATTCCGAAGATTATCTCGGACAGACAGACGGAGACAAAAAAATTAAAATGTTTATTCATGGCTTAATGGTATGCAAATAACCCTCAGCTCAATATAAGACAGTTACATGTTTTATTGCACAGACAGACACTTCAATTTTATTTATATGTGTTGCGGCGTAAAAAAATCTTCTATTTCCTATCATCCCGTGAGTGTTGTGAAAGGTGACGTTGAAAGATTAAACAAGAGATGGGCAGCAGTATATTTCTCAAAACAGTTCAAAATAATAAAGAAAAATTTCTACTATTTAGCAATATTTCCATTGCTAAATTAGAAGACATGAGATCATAACGTGAAATGTACTAAAAAAGAAACCACGATAAAAGTTTCGAAGACATCCAAGATATCTATATCGAATAACATCGATGATAAACAAATGGGATAAGTTTTAATGTTTACAGAACCGATTCATCTAGAAAGCGGTTCATTGGTTTGTTTACATGACGCAGTTATGTAAACAAACCAATGAACGCGATATTGACAATGTGAGATGGAACGGAACGCGGTGAATTATTGGCGCTACTTCGGTTTGTTTAGGGGAACATTCGCTCGTAAATGTTATTTATATGTTATTTTAGCTTCAGTAGCAATAGTTAAAACACGGATAGCAAACTTGAAAAATTGCAACGGACAGCAAGCTTCAAATCTGCCGTTCGACTACTGTCATGAACAACTCCTAATAAAATTTTTAGGCTTGTAATAAGTATTCGTTTTCAAAAAATATACGAAATAATTTTTTGTTAAAATAAGACGTAACGTTAGGAAACTGAATTTTAATACTAATCAGTTAGTATTACCATGTACCTGACAAAGAAGTATGTGCAATTTTTTTCATAGAAGGAAGAGTGAGAAGCATGTACCTAAATATGTCCTCAATAAATATGACTCGTTACCTTAATTCGTTCATTAAATTGAAATGATGGTTACATAGCGCAGTGGCACTGAGTTGCGCCGCTGATGGCCGCGAGATTCGAACCCCGCCCGGAGTTCAAGCGAGGCCAGCAGTAGTACGTATCTATATGGCACTTTGCTACTATCTGCAAAGTAGTAGAGCAACTGTAAATGCTGTAGACACTGAAGTTGCGGATGTTATTCAAACCACATGTATATCTGCTGCATCTTCACCTAGTTTAAGCAAAGTGACAGTTCCTATTATGATTAATGAATTCCACGCTGAAGCTCTGATATACTCGTACTTTGTTGTTTTTTTTTTCTCAAAAATGTCCCGCTGCATTTTTTGGTGGCGGACAGAGGTTTTTTTTTGAACCAGTGGTAAAGCTTATATGTATTTCAATAAGTAACTTAAACAACTTTCTATAAGTATTATTTATAATCTATATTGAATAAATAAGTTTCTATTTCTGTGTATTAACGTATCGATGATTTTTTTTATAGGATCGAGTGACAAACGAGCACACAGTCCACCTGATGGTAAGTGGTTGCTGTGGCCCATAGACATTTACATTTATCTTCGTTTGCGAATCAAAACGGCAATGCGTTGTCACTCGTGAGGACTAAGATGAAATGCCTCTTTTCCAGTAAAAAGGGTCTCCGGTTCTCTACACTCACCAAACGAAACACGGCAGTGTTAAACTGCTATTTGACGCTGGTATTCTGTGAGAGCGTGGTCCTTCCCCAGTCGAGCCGACCCATTCGTGCTACAACTATACAATTAATATAGCTGCAGCGTTGTTATTGTCGGTCGGATTTCATATCATTGATTTGTCTGCAACAATAAATATAATCCATGCCGTCTCTCTTACAATACATATCAACGTTCAATTGTAAGTCAACTTGATTGCTGCTTTGTAATTCGATTTGTGTTGATAGAAGCGGCTGAAGCTCTAGCTCTATCGTTTTGGTATTACATTTATTCTAATTAACATTTTGCCGATTAGGCTGACGCTTGTTATTTTGCTGACTAGTCGACAGTTCCCGTCTATGCCTTCCATTCTTTATCCATTAATTACAACGAAAAAATTAACCATAGACATAAAAAATAGACCTTTCACATAGATTGCCTTATATTAGATATTGCCATTGTTACCACGCTCGATGAGCAGGTTGGCATCCGCAGTTTTTGTTATTTTGAGTTGTTATCAGAAGGATTTTTCTGTCCATCTCCAGTTTCAGTTTATCCATATCGTCTCTTACAACACCCACGGCACGATATGGGGTAGTGGAAATACTTAAACTACCACTACGTGGTTGGACAGTCGTAATATATAATATGCCACTTTGCGTTCCCTTTATCGTCTTAAGAATTTCCTAACTTTTAAAACCAAACTTACGCTTGTTCATTCCCTCATTCTACCTATTATACATTATGCAGATGTATGTTACCCAGATTTGTCGATCAGATTTGAAAAAGTGAGTGCTATTATATATTGTGTAAAAAAAGTGAGTGCTATTATTATATTGTGTATGGCTGTACATAACATGAAACTATAATATTTCCCGCGCAGTTGACACTCTTTAGCCAGATGGATTCCTTGGATTAAAATGGGTTCCGACGCCTAGAAAGAGCTATTTTATAAACGAGCTCACATTGAAATGTAATTTATTAGAGCGTCAGTGACGCCTATTACATACAGTCTAGCTCTAAAATAAGCTAAACTAATCTAATTGATTTAAATGCATCGTGACGTGCTACAACCATAGATTATATACTGTATATAGTGTACTACAACACTCACTGCAGATGTGAAATGTGATTTGTTGATTTCGGATTAGTAAATTGATTGCCTCAAAGCTAATATAACTAAATACGTAACTACATAACTTGACTTAGCATACTACTGCTGGACGTATGAGGAAGGAGAGGCCTATGATGCCCGACGTTTTTCATATTTCTGCATGATATACTTAGAAAGTAGTCGGTATTGTGAGGTACCGCTCTCCCTACTCTTCGCGGCCGCAACTTGGTAGGCGCCGGAGCCAAAGACCAAATCCGCCGCTGGGGTCGGGAAAGCAGGTGCTACTGAGCGCTCGATTTTCCTGGCCTCATGGCCTCCGCGTATTGGACTCGGGGGTACCATTACGCAGGTGTAGTTGGAATCCGCGATGAAAGGCGCGCCTTGTGTTCCTCGTGCGCCTTGCCTAAGAAGGAGAATGGGGAAGAGAACTTCTCCTCCGAGGAAGGGCTGCCATGGGGCGGCCAGGGCTGATGAGGCCGTGGATGTGTGCGAAAGCGTTCCCGTGGCCCTGCCAATATGTGGTGAAGCTGGAACACCATGGGGTTTGTGTCGGTGCGAGTCTGACATAACCTGAAC